GTCCCATAATATAAGAATGTTTTTCAAATTGTTTTAGCTTAAAAAGCGTTTTTATATTATGGGACGGAGGGAGTACTTTGGTAGCTTTTAAGAAAACTGGAACCTTGAAGTGCACATTCTCAAACTTGAGTAACAGGTGAGTTGCACAATTTCAGGCCAGGCAGTTCCTGCTTATGTCGGAATGCTTATAATCTTAAGCCATATGATTTCGCTAATAGCTTAGCTCTGCACATAGCAAAGTTGGCGCTGCACATAGCAGTCCAGTGTACATAAACCAGGGCCCTGAACAAAGGGCACCTGGAGAAACCCAACACCACTCAGAAACAGTAGCTCCATAGGGATAGACATAAGTTAACGGCAAACAAGTGCGACAAACCATTACAGCAAACAAGTACGCTTGCACAAATCTACATAAAGCCATAATCACGAGGTTATCAGCGACGCAATGCAGGTCAAGACACAGACGCAACAAGCCATTATTCCCATATGGTTATCTGCTCTTGCAAGTCAGGCAGTTAACACAAAGAGAGTGCTGAACTACGAGTTCACATGCATCAGCAGTAATAGACGAAGTAGTGGATGGCTGCTACCCCCTCACATTCTCCGAATGGCAATCCCTTTTAAGACCAAAGGGCCAACGATAAAAGGCGTACCCAGCACGTATACCACATTAAGCAGCTTAGCTAGCCTTTCAGTCCACACAACCTCACGGCTGCCAAAAAGAAAAAGGAACTGAGGCATTACATATCATATTCAACCTTTTGAGCAGTAATATCAAAATGAAAGTTGTTGAAGCTTATACCTGTAGTTTTTTAACTCTCTTGTCACACTGTCATAATGTTCTCGCTGAAGCAGGTACCAATCTCTAGCGCTCTACAATTTTAACAACAAAGTAAGAGAAGCTGAGAAGGTAATATCTGGTGCAAGATTTAGCCTTGTTATCCTTACATGTCCTGTAAGGATACAGGGGAACGAAAATATCAGGAGACAAGAGTATTTGCAGCACCATAAGCTCTTGAAATCATTACACATGATAAATACACATATTTGCCGAGCATTCCTGACTGCTAGTACCCTAATTTCAGAGCTTACAAAACTTACAGCATACATGACGTATAATTTGCCATCATCCCAAAATCAAGTAGTCAATCCTCTGATTAACGCTTTTAAGTCGGAACAAACACCTATGTGTCTCTTGTGCAAATCCATGAATCTCTACCTCTCTACCTAATAATAAAGCGCCGTGGGTTTCTGTCGTCCGTCGCCGGCTGTTTTGCAAAAAAGTCCCCCTGTTTCTGAGAAATTGACCCGCAGTTCTACTTAAAGTGTGGATAAAGTTGCAATTTTACAAAGAAACCCCTCTAATATTGGGCCCGAATCGGACCGCGCCGCCGCCCGCAGTTCCCTCTTGCCCACATCATCCCATCCCCCACATCGCATCTCATCCGCAGGCGCCGCCACCCACCCCGCTCCCCAACGCACAACTCTTCGGGGTGGATCCAGGCCCATGCCCGGCTAGGAGGATGGCGGAGGGAAGGACCGACGGCGATGGTGGTCGTCTGGTGGCAGCGAATGGCGGAGGAAGATAGAGTGAGGAGATGGACCATCCACGTAAGGTCGGCGACATAAAGAAAAAAGGGGCGTGGTCAACTGGTGGACGGGGTTGGTCGGGACTGCACGACCACATCAGAGCGGTCGATGCTGGAGCGACGACGGCCTCGAGCGCACGGCCGGGGCCAGCTCGCCTGCAGAGGAGCCATGGCCGCGAGGAATCGCTGTGGGATTCCCGGCACCGCGGGGATGAGGAGCCGCTGACGACGGGAGGCAGCAGCTTTGGCCCGTGCCACAGTGGGGGAAGAGGAGAGGAGCCAAATGTGCAGGCGACAGAGTTGGAGGCCCGATGGCTGGGCAGAGAGATCCAGACGGCAAGGGAGCTCGGGGAAGAAGGGCATGGCGGGCGACGGGACCACAGCCATGGCCGCAGGCAGGCGAGCGGAAGACCGGAGGCTCGCCGGAGAAGGACACGCGCAGCAGGAGGGAGGCGCGAAGGAGGCGTTCATCGCCGGAAGCGGGGCCAGATGCGTCGGACGCACGCCCTCGCGACCCACTGTCAACGCATACACAGCGGCCGTGGCGGCTTGGGTTGATGTAGGAGGACGAGGAGGAACTCGAGAGGAACGGATTCGTTGGTGCGGCTGGAATATTTGTGGCCGTCGTTGCCTGGAGAGAGAGGAGGGGGAGCTGCGGCGCTGTGGTGCGTGAGTTTGCAGGAGGAGGAACAATGGAGGCGGAGCGATGACGAGCTTGTGGATAAGATAAGGGACACTGCTCGGTGGGCTGGCTACTGCTTTTTTTTCATCGAACGAAATGTTGTGGCGGCACTGAGTAGAAGCCGCTAGATGTCCCTCTACGTGTTGTGCTAGCAGCCTAGCACCGAGTACAATTTCAAAAAAGTTAGATGAACCGAGCACCTGGCCGCTATTTTGTTTGTACGACCATGGTTTAATACAGCAGTTATAGTAATTAAAAATACGTGTGACTAAAATAATAAAAAGAAATATTTTTTAAGAAAACCATATTTGGGCTCTCTTGTGGACTAGCTGACCATCAATAAATTCCTCCACTCTATATGTTACCAGTGTCGTTGGTGTGAGATACAGAGGAGAGAGGGATGGATGGGCAGTTGAAAGAGTATGATGACAGTGCATCTTGCTCGAACTGTGTGAAGGAGGGACATCGTTCTGTTCGTCCAGCACGTCGGCTATGGAGAGAGAGGGAAGCATGTGGTCATGCCTAGCATGATCATGTCCTCGGTCCTTCCATACCCCACCTTCATGTGGCTACTCTATGTCGTACCATCTCTTCCCCAGCTCTGCATGCCCCAATACTGGTCCTTCTTGAGACCACGATGATAGTGTCAAGAGAAGTGGCTGCATTGGCGCAGTCGATGTGCTCCTACTATTGACGACAGAGTGTGAACAAAAGAGCATCAAACATTGTAAACCCTTTATTGTCTAACCGGACATCTTATCTTTTAAGTGGGCAAGCATTAAATATGAATTCACATTAAGATGAAGAAGAATTTAACGGACATGAATATATAGCTCAGTTTTTTGCCATGACAGATAAACTCCCCAATATCATGTGAACTTTTAAATTTCCTTTATACCCGTTGCAACGCACGGGCTCTTTTGCTAGTAACTAAAATATGAGAAAGTCATGCTGGTAGTTCACAAATTCTGAGCACCAGCCTCATGCAAGGTAAAAACGATCAACATTTTCATGACAATACAAATGGTTTTCATGTTAAAATGTGCTGTAACATCCCGTCAATCTCGTGCAGAGGGAAAAGGGGGAAAATTTCATGACAATACAAATTGTTGCCAAGTTAGAATTATGTATAGCCACATCTCTTTAAAATGCTGCTAACAAGGATAGTCACTAAACAACTTGCATGTGCATCTATGCATAATTTGTAACAGTGAAAGGATGGAGACCATGAAAACCATGCGTCTGAAAAAGGCAAGACCACGAATGCAGATGAACAAGTGCATAGAAGGTAAGAAGCATGTAGCAAGTATCAACTGCAATGGGAGATTACTGACGAGCCTCCTACAGTTGACAGCATCCCTTTCTTCTTGCAAATAGGCTCATGGACAGGGGAGCTCAAGCACAGACATAATCCCTCCAGCCGGGTCTATACGTACTATTAATCTTGTCTTAAGTTGATAAGTTTATACAACAAAATAATCAACACACATTACCCAATAAATATATTAGGATTTAGGAATAAGTATGCAGTTGATGATAAATATAGCTGAATGATTTGGTATTGCCAAATCATATTCAAAACCATAGATTCACCCCAAAAAAAGGATTAATTTGTATTCGAAATTCATTAGCTAGCAATGCAGGTATGCGGCCTTGCACCAAGACCAAGGGCGTGCCTTTTGGTCTCAGAATAAAGTAACAACACAGCAGCAAGGCTTGAATATGCGAAGGGCGAAACTTTTGGTCACGGCGAAGGGTCTAGATCCGGAGCCGAGGAAATCAAAGAAATTATCGGTCTGTTTCGTCGCTTGGCAGTGGCAGGCATACATGATCACACACAGGCGGAAGCTCTAGCACTAGAAGGAGCATACCTTACTGGAGGAGGAGAAAGGAAGGCCGAAGTGCCGAACGCCGGCGAAACGTGAGGGGGCAACGGGAGCCGGGCAGCGGAAGCGGCGGCGGCGGGGATCCGCGTCTTCGCGGCCAGGCTGCATAGCGCCATGGTCAGCCGGGGCGGGCGAAGCCGATCGAGGATCGAGGCTAGGGTTTGGGATTGGCTTCTCTTCTCTTCTCCTCTTCTCCCCGGAGATGGAGGCATACCTAGACAAACGGGCCGGCCCGGCACGGCACGGCCTGGCCTGTGCTAATCGTGCCTGGCTCGGCACGGCCCGCCATGGCACGTTTAATAGCCGGGCCGTGCCGTGCCGGCCCACGGACGCCGCTCCTTGGCCCAGGCACGGCCTGATTAGTAAACGGGCCGGCCCGATGGCTCGTTTAGCACGCTGGGCTGCACATATTTAGCTTGTTGGGCTGTTTTTTGACCTATTGGGCTATATTTTAGGTATAAATATATAAAAAAAATCTGAAAATTATATTAAACAAATTAAACGGGCCAAGCCGTGCCGGCCCACGTGCCCAGGCTCCAGGCCCAGGCACGGCGCAAGGCGTGCCGCGTGCTGGGCACGGCCCGTTTAGCCCGTGCCGTGCCTGGCCCATAGCAGGCCGTGCCGGCGTGCTCGCGGGCTGGCCTGTTTGGCCCGGCCCGTTTGGCCAGCTATAAGATGGAGGCTTCGTCTTTCCATCCTCTCTCTAGTCGCGCTGTCTCCTCCACAAAACCGGCCCCCTCATGGGCCGGGCCGGGCCGGGCTTGATCACACACGCCGCGTGGAGCAGAAAATCCGTGGACCAGCTGAACTAAAAACGACTCCGACCCAAACAAATGAAATGTTCTGCTAAATAAAAAAGTAAATGAAATGAGCGATTATTATTGCAACTAGTACTATTTTTTTATGGGAACCTGCTGCAGATTATGATATAATAGTTCTTCTAATTGGGTCGATGAACCCCCAGACTTTCTGGTTAATACTCTTGCGAACGACGTGACCTTTTCACCAAATCAATAAAACGAGCCATGATGACATTTTCTAAAAAAAAGCTTTATAACTTTTGTTCATGCAGTCTTCTCTATCAAGAATGTATGCTGCCCTTTTTGCGACAAAACTTTCGATCTATTCATCTTTAATCACGGCAGTACAACAAACATCAGAAATAATAAAAATTACATCCAGATCTGTAAACCACCTAGCGACGACTATAAACAAGCCAAAGGCGTGCCCCCGTCGTCGCCCCTCCCTCGTCGGAGCAGTACTATCTCGCGTATCCCACCTTGTGATCATCTAGAGGCCGTAGCATAGTCTTCACCTCTTCAATGAGAAAACCATGTGTGAACCCGTCCCTCTTCAAATATGTCAGGGACTGTATGATGCAACCCATCTCCAGAACAAGCCTATGAACGTCTATATCCTTGCCATGGTGATCATGCATGATCGCACCACCACAACACAAGCGTTTGTCTGGAGCACCAATAGCACTTGCCTTGACATGTCCCGCCTCTGCCTTTTCCCATCGCTCACCAGTAGTCCATCTACGTGTCATCGCCCCCATGTTCTCACGAATAGCTTGCTTATAGTCGTCGCTACGTGCGTTCGTGCAACTCAGGTGTAGTGATCCCCCCCCCCCTTTACTCGAGCAGTGACAATTTAAATTTGGAATTATATATATTAAAAATGAACCTTGTCACTAGGAATATATGTGGTTAGCGTTCTTAAAGTAACCTCCCTCATCTTAGGGAGGGTGAGGCTAGGGTTTGGGATCGCCTTATCTTCTCTTCTCTCTATAAATGGAGTCTTCATCTTTTCCGTGTAGATATCCTCTTCTTATACGTCTTCCCAATCATGTTGTTTGCTCCACAAAATGCAAGCCCTCATTGGTTGGACAGGGCCGAGCTGGATCACCCATACCACATCAAGGCTAAATCTATGACACTATCTCTATCTATGGAAATGCTTTAAAGGCAAATACCATCAAAACTACCCATATATGTTTTGGAACCCTATCTGTTGCTAATCATAAGAACATCAACGGTATTATGCGTTGTGGTTTATGTGTTCCAATCTATGCTCCTGAAGTGTGCAATACCTGATCTTGCTCCCAACTTAATGTCTAAATCGTGGCCCCACCCAAATAATATTAACCTTAATCCATAAATAGAAACATGTTTCCTTCTTCTATAAAAACTAGTCAATGTGCAGATGCAATACACGTCTCAGTACTATTGTACATATACAATGCTTACCATTTCGAGCCACATGTTGTTACTTGCAGTTCAAGATATGCAATGGTTTGGAGTAAATCAATGCACTCTGCGAGTTTAAATAGTGACAAGATGTACTTTTGCTAACTTCCCTAAAACATACCAACATAAAATTTATTGCCAACATCCAGCACTCAGGCATCTTACCATGATGAAATGCCTAATGTTCGTGTTTTATACATATGCCTCTATTGGGCAATATATTAAATGCATCCTACCGCACACTATTTCACCATTTACAGTTTGCAAGACTATACTTTCATCGAAAAATGTAGAAATCATAGAACACCCATGTAAATTTATTACTTCGATAAAAACTGTGAAGCACTGAAACAAGAATGAAAGGAAACAATAATAACACCGACAAATAAGCTCCAAAAAATGTAGATATCATATAATATCATAATATATTTCTCATAGTATAAAGTAGCAGATAAGAGATGTGTGCTGATATATCTAAAGAAACAAAAAATCAATGAAAATGTAGTATGCCACTTGTATAAAGTTGAGGACTCAGATTCACAATAAATTATGAAATGTGCAATTCTCCATCCTCCTCACTTCCTCATCCAGGCATAAAGGTATCGAGATGTGAGTCTATCCCTTTCATACCATTGCGGACTTACAAAAAGTTACCAAATGTATATCTCACTTTTTCACAGAGATGCTAGAATTATATTGTACCACATGAGCCCAGAGGTGTCTCCGTCTTCAATGAGGAATGACTTGGCTAGAAGTGCAATTGATGTCCCCAACAACATTGATATCACTATACTGGAATATTTGGTAGATACAAAATTGCAGAGTATTCAGAAATGCGGGCTTGATTCTGACAATTGGCTCAGGTTACCCATAGATGATCTTACTCTGGTTGCACATAGAGTAAGGAATAAGCCCCCCTTTCAATCATGGATGAACCATAATAGCTCTTCCTACCTTATATTGTACATTATTGCCATCATGCATTGCCATATCTACAAGGACACTACACATAACTGAATCTGCAACCATTGAATAGAGGAAGAACATTATTGTGACTATTCTTTTTTTGAACTCCAGACATATTATAATTTTGCTGAACTCAATGTTACAACAATCTAATCCATCCAAGACATGTAGGAACAAGAAAAATGATGACCATCCATGTTGATAAAAAGGCACAAAATGTGAGCCGACGGCAAGGCACTTCTCGACTAACATAAATACAACTCAATATACTTTAGTTGCTACTCCCTCCATAAAGAAACATAAGAGCGTTTAGACCACTACTTTAGTGATCTAAACGCTCTTATATTTCTTTACAGGGGGAGTACAATGTACCCAACAAATGATATCAACAAAGCTCATATCTAAACTATAGAAATTTATGAACTCGTCTCACATAATTTCCATACTTTCGAGTCACTTCAAGTATACATGATTCATATACAAAATCACATACACATCAAAACTCACACTGACTGGATTGAGAATTTAATGTGTTAGCTCGTCGAGAGAGAAAATGTTATGAAGACTAATCCAGAATGAACTCATATAATCTTAACCATCACATTGATAAGGAATAGAAAGTGATCAAGTTTTGACTCCAAACATAGGACAAACAATAAACAAATAGCTCAAAATTTCTTGTCATGGGAGCTCATACATGCACCTCAATATTTGAGTCTCCTAAAAAATTATAAAGTATAAAGTGTAATTCTCCATCTAGATCAATATGCAGAGACAAGATATAACATATATGTTGATGAATGGAAAGAGCACATTAGAATCACTAAAAATTCTCAAGATATAACAAACTCCATGAATATTAATGATACTTGAGTGAACAGATTAATGACGAATCGTTCATTTTCTCTTTTTGGAGTAGATTAATGATGGACTACGGGTAATTCTTAGAAAGTAAAGGGGGCTTTCTAAAAAAGCGTGTGACAAACCAAGAATATCACCTTCTTTTATTAGAAGGTATGGATATAACAGGAGGAGGATGTGAGTTTGATCCCTAGAGAAGCATACTATTTTTTCTGGCCCGCAAGAGGTAGCAAATGCACCCAGACGCAATAGAAAGTAATGCACATGCCCAATAGCAACGCATGGGTAGACTATTAACGAAATGCACGAAACGTATTGGCAGAGTTTTTAACGGAATGCACAAAATGTTTTCTGCCGCACAAAAAAAACAAAAATGTTTTGTATACCTACTAAAAAAAGGATGTGCGTTCTTCTTCTTTGATTATGCACCCACATGTCTCATTTATCTAGTTTAATTATCCCACCAATCCATTTAATTAGGATCTAATCATCATGGATGAAATGCATGTTCAATTAGCCCACCAACATAGCACGTATAGAGGTTTAGGTGGCCTTGTCTCTCCTTGTTTCTCATGTGTATCATCGTGTCCCACAATCATGCCTTCGATTACAAAAATTAATGCTTTTGATGGTGCAACATCCTCCTTTCATATTCCTCGTAGCCACCACACAATCTTTGGGAGTTAATTTCTTCCGGATCTTTAGACACGTACATAAATCATCCGGGACATTATATAATTTTCTTGAGCTATGCATGTTCCCTCCTTTATCAAGTCTTTGTTTTGTTCTCTCTGTTTCTTGGATCTTGAGAAGGCTTGTTGATATTTCATGCAATTTGCAAGTGTATATAAATTGATGGGACTAGGTGTAAAAAATTGAGGTGGTACTATTAATTGGCCGACGAACCCTCTCTTCTAACACAATTCTATGCTTAGATCAGTCGATTGGAGCCTTCGTTTTGGTAGGGGAGATCCTGAGTTCGAATCCGACACGGATAACATTTATTTTCCTGTGTTTAGTACCACATCAGATAGGTATAGGACAAAATAATTCTATATGGTGAAGGGACAAAAATCCAGAGAAATGCACCTCCCTTTTATAGTAATAAGGTATAGAAAGATACTTGATTTATCAACACTCACCATTTGCCATGAGGCTGCACAATAAGAATCCAAAATAGACTACAAGGCTTCAACATTGCAGGAATTAGCTCTCATGTGGATCAAAGAGTAATCCACAAAGAGGAGATCTATAATAGATGGAGCATCCATGCAAATCTTAATTGCAATAATATTTTCATTCTCCCCCGCATGCACAAGAAGAGCAGTTAGACCCTACGTACACAACAAGAAAAGATAGGGAGATAAAGGGTCTCCCTGTCTCAAACCTCTTGTGGGCTTTAAATTCTCATTTTTTTCTGAATTAAAATGAACCAGGTTTTCAACACTTGAAACACAATGAATAATGAAATTTACCCAATTTTCGTGAAAACCAAGCTTCAGCATAATTTCCTTCAGAAGAATCCACTCCACTCGGTCATATTCTTTATGCATGTCAAGCTTGATAGCACGCAAACCTTATTTACCTTCCCTCTTGTTTTTAATTGTGTGAAAGCACTAGTACACCACTAAAATATTATATGTAATCATTCTCTCAGGAACAAAAGCACTCCGAGTCAGGCAAATAATCTAAGGCAAAAGAGAACCTTCGAACAGGCAACCACCATTTTTGATATAACCTTACCAGCCACACCACATCGCACAAACTAATCGTTCTAAAATGAGTCACCTTTTTTCACTACTGGAATCAGCTCATTTGCCATCTGCCAGCTCTTTGCCATCAGCTAGCGGACGGCAAAGAAGCTCTTTGCCATCAGCTACCCAAAAGCAGACGGCAAAGAAATAGCAGACGGCAAAGAAGCTCTTTGCCGTCCGCGAGCTCTTTGCCGTCTGCCAGCGAACGGCAAAGAATATTTGCCGTCCGCTGGCAGACGGCAAAGAGAGGTGGCCCCCACCCCCCGCCCGTTTGGAAAAAAACTTAACGGCCCACCACTTTGCCGTCTGCCAGCAGACGGCAAAGAGGCAAAAGGGCGGACGACAAAGAGAGGCGGACGGCAAAGAGGACACTATCTAACGGCCCGTACC